CATTCCTTCACTGCTGACTACGATCGGCACGAGGTATACACAGCTAGCTGCTGAAATACGGATTAATTGGACCGTCACAAGCCAATACATGAACCAAGCTGGGATAACGCTTGATGGATAGTCTAAAAATGCACATATGTTGGGACATAGATTATGATACGTGTCACCCAGTAACGTGACGATGTAGAATTGCCCACACGCTCCATCACATAACTGCATGCCGGCGATACCCAACATGAATACATACAGCACAGAGACTATCTGTGCGACGAGGATGCAGAGATTGATATGTTGGGGAGTAGCATCTGATAGGGAAATGATGGATATAATGTCCATTGATGAGATAAGAATATCCAATATTACTCCTAACAACACCATAGAAAGGTGGCAGAGACGGTGCTGCACCAGAAGAGAATATGGCTATCCCAAGTGCCGTGATGAGATTTGAAGCATAGGGTGCTCTAGGGATGAGATTAGCCTCGATGTGTGTATCAGGTAGGATCATGATGGAAGATGCGACCTGAAGGAACCCCAGTAAGACTATCATTCATATCACTATTCAATAGTGATATGGATAATAATCATACAGTGACAATTGCCGATATTTAGCTCCAATATACATTCAATTATCGATAAAGCGTGGTAATCCTGGAGCATAGGCCAAAGTGTGAAGGGACCTCTCCGACACCGCAGATACGAGAATTCTTCAGTAACACCAAGCGTGACAGGGCTTACCCAAAGCAGGCTTCCAAGCACCGCTCCGAAAGCTCCTGTAATGCCCAGCACGTAAGAGATCTTGTCAAAGCAAGGTAGTAGAACGACAGTCAACCATAATGCAGCAGACACGATGATCCACAACTCGACTGACAGAGAGCAAGCGGTATCATTGGTCATATACTTCACCTACTGCTGAGATTTCTGATTAGTACATTAGCACATGTACCAATAGCGATAGTACTAGCTGCCGATGTGAGGAAGAACTCCAGAGACACGACCTGGGATGAATAACAGACGGTGAATAGCATGCTCAGCGAGCATGTGTGGTACTCATGCAAATGGCAGACACACTACGAGATGTGTAACATTAGGTAGCCGTGCGAGGCTTCCCGTGATGTGGTCAAACGCTACAGACTATCAGAGATACCAAAGCGAAGTGTTTACCATTGTAACGACTGTTCGGCCGACTATGCCTCCACAATAACCAGCCAGGAAAGCGTATTCTCTCTCGAAGACGGGCACACGATGTTCCTCGCCATATCTCTTAATCTAACACGCAATATTCAAAAATCCAGTAATCACAGTCGGGACAGCTCTCCGTCACCGTACAACGCATTAGCAGTACCTCAGGGTTGTCGAAGCAAGCCTTGACAAGTAAAATACATATAAAAATTGCCGCACCGGTGACAACCTGGAATACCATTGCTAGCCAGCCAGCGGTGGTAAACACAAATGGGATCGAGAAACCTAACGTTATCATCGCGTTGAGAGCCGTCATGAAAAATGACCTAAAAAAACGACGAGAAATAATGGAATAGTAGAGCAGATAGTCCGCATTGATACGAAGCCCGAGAAGTTTGCTTCTTGGCCAAAGCCGATAAAATATTCAAGACCCATCCTCACCACATGATTGAATCACACAGCATATGCACTCATCTATTGCCTATGTTATCATGTATGATAACAAAGAACCAGAATTCGCTATATTCCCGCAACATCTACCTTAAGGTTATTCCCTGTTCCATCGAGCTGAATCCACCGCCTCCCTCGACAATGACAGGCATCGAAATGATGGTGCCCCCTGGGCTACGATCAATCTCTAATCCATCTAGAACGTCTGACTTGCTCTGGATCGTTGAAAAACGGTCCGAGTCGAAATTTGGAGTAGGACCGGAGGAGCCCAAGAACGATGCAGACATAGAAGACGACAGCGGAGGCGAGTCACAACCCTCTATGCTTCATCAACCGAATCCTATTATTTTACTATCCCCTGGTGGATCCAACCTAGCGAACAGCTGTAATGTAAACCCAACATGTATTCACCAATTACAAAGGCATTTTCAGAGGCTTGCCGATGAGAACTTCTCATCGACTATAGTTCCCACATCAGCAATTTGCGGGAGCTCGATACCCTTTATGAAGAACTCAGGAGCCCAGCGGAAGATTACACCAGCACCTTCGGCAGCGTCCTTATCGGATTGCATGTCCCCAACCATCAAGGTACCCAGCCTACGACAGCTCAGACACTACACCACACCAGCTAGTACTGTCGTAGCATACTACCGAGAAGCACCGGCCCATTGCATGGCAGCCTGCAGCATCCCTGGATTCGGTTTCCTCCATTCTTTACTCCATCTCTCATCTCGTGCTGATTCTACTGGACAAGGGACCCCAGTTGGCAGATT